GGATATCCGCGCGACCAGCACCGTTTCGCAACGACTGGCCGAGGCGTATGCCAAAAACTCCGCTCCGGCCGGTTCGGAACTTCCGGACTGGGTGCGTGATTTTGAGGCCGTCTTCAACCGGGAGTCCTTCGACTCGCTCCCTGAGAGCCGAACCTGGGACCACGCCATCGAACTCGTTCCGGACTCGAAGCCCGCCAACTGCAAGGTCTACCCGATCTCGCCCCTCGAGCAACGCGAACTCGACGTGTTCATCGAGGAGGGCTTGTCTACCGGACGGATCCGGCCGTCGAAATCCCCAATGGCCTCTCCGGTCTTCTTCGTCAAAAAGAAGGACGGAGGCCTCCGGTTCGTCCAGGACTATCGGGCGCTCAACGCGATGACCGTAAAGAACCGGTACCCCCTGCCTCTGATCAACGATCTCATCAATCATTTGAAAGAGCCCGGTTCTTTACGAAACTCGACGTCCGGTGGGGCTTTAACAACGTCCACATCCGGGAGGGTGACGAGTGGAAAGCCGCATTCCGTACCAACCGGGGGCTCTTTGAGCCATTGGTGATGTACTTCGGCCTTACCAACTCCCCGGCGACCTTCCAGACAATGATGAACGACATCTTCCAAGATCTCATCTTGTCTGGCGACGTCATGGTGTACCTCGACGACATCCTCATCGCGCACTCGGACCTCCGGAAGCACCGGGAGATCGTCCGGGAGGTCCTCCGACGTCTCCGGGAGCATAAGCTCTACTTGCGACCGGAGAAGTGCGAGTTCGAGAAGTCCTCGATCGAATACCTCGGCGTGATCATCTCTCACGATCATGTGGAGATGGATCCGGTCAGGGTCGCCGGAGTTTCCGCTTGGCCGACGCCGGAAAACAAGAAGGACGTGCAGCAGTTCCTCGGCTTCACGAACTTCTACCGGCGGTTCATCCGCGACTTTTCCGACATCGCCCGCCCTCTCTTCGACCTCACCAAGAAGGGCCAGGCGTGGGTCTGGACCGACAAAGAGGCCGCTGCGTTCCAAGCCTTGAAGGACGCAGTGGTCACCGAGCCGGTCCTGATCCTTCCGGACGAGTCCCGGATGTACCGGGTTGAGGCGGACAGTTCCGACTTCGCGTCCGGAGCTGTCCTCTCTCAGGAGGGTGTCGACGGGAAGTGGCATCCGGTTGCCTTCTTCTCCAAGAGCTTGAGTCCGGTCCAGCGCAACTACGAGATCCACGACAAGGAGATGCTGGCGATCATCCGGGCGCTCGAGGAGTGGCGGCACTTCCTCGAGGGCTCTCAGCATCCGGTCGAGATCTGGACGGACCACAAGAACTTGGAGTACTTCCGGAAGGCGCAGAACCTCAACCAGAGGCAGGCCCGGTGGTCCCTGTAGCTGTCCCGGTTCGACTTCTCGCTTCACCACAAACCCGGACGCCTTATGGGCCGCGCGGACGCCCTGTCCCGACGCGCTGACCATGGAGCGGCTTCGGACAACCGGGATGTGACGCTCCTGACCCCACAGCTGTTCCATATCCGTGCGTTAGAGGGTGTTATAGTCTCCGGACCGGAAGTCCCGACCCTCCGCAAGATCCGCGATGCCCTCGCCGGCGAGCCTGACCTCGAGGACCCCGTCGCTCTCACGGCCTGGGAACTTTTGAAGGTTCGTGGTGCCCGGTTCTCCCGGTCCTCCGAGTGGCATGTCGAGTCCGGTCTGCTCTATTTCCGTGGCAAGATCGTTGTTCCCCGGAACAAGGACCTTCGTCGCTGGATTTTGGAGCAGCACCACGACACCCGCATTGCTGGGCATGCCGGCCGTTTCAAAACGTTGGAGCTCATTTCCCATCACTACTGGTGGCCCCAGCTGTCCCGTCACGTTGGCCGGTATGTAGCGACCTGCGACTTGTGTCTCCAGACCAAGGCGCTCCGGAAGCTTCCGGTCGGGGAGTTGCACCCGACGGAGATTCCGGAGGAGCGCTGGAGTGCCGTGTCGGTGGACTTCGTCGTCGAACTTCCGGAAGCGCACGGCTACAATGTGATCATGGTTGTAGTCGATGTCCTCGGTAAGCGAGCCCACTTCATCGAGTGCCACACCCAGATCGACGCTGTCGGTGCGGCCCGGCTCTTTTACCGGACCGTCTGGCGCCACCACGGAACTCCGGAGAAGTACATCTCCGACCGGGGCCCTCAGTTCGTAGCGGAGTTCACCACCGAGCTCTGGCGCCTCATCGGAATCAAACCCGCGACCTCCATGGCGTACCACCCGCAGCCCGATGGGCAGACGGAGCGGGTAAACCAGGAGATGGAGCAGTTCATCCGGCTTTTCTCTAATTACAAGCAGGATGACTGGGACGAGCTCCTTCCGGCCGCGGAATTTGCCTACAACAACCACATTCACTCTTCTACGCAACAGGTCCCGTTCATGACGGACACCGGACGGCTCCCCTGGATGGGTTTCGAGCCAAACGGCTTGCGTTCGAAGGTTGAGTCGGTAAATGAGTTCCGAGACCGGATCGCATCCGGAGTCTCCGAGGCCCGCGCAGCTCTGGTGAAGGCGAAGGAGGAGTTCAAGCGGTACTACGATCGTCGGCGCACTTCGGCTCCGGACATCAAGGTCGGAGATCGTGTCTGGGTTGATGCCTCGGACATCCAAACGACCCGCCCCTCGGTCAAGCTCTCTCACCGACGGCTGGGCCCCTTTAAGGTCGTCCAAGTCGTCAGCCGAGGTGCGTATAAGCTTGCGCTCCCCCCCCGTCTCTCCGGCCTCCACCCGGTCTTTCCGGTCGTGAAGCTTCAGCTCGCGGAAGAGGACCCCTTTGAAGGCCGTCCCGGCTACGACGAGCCTCCTCCGGTCATCGACGAAGAGGCTCCTCCGGACGCCGTGCCGGAATGGGAAGTACAGGAAATCCTGGAAGCCAAGATACGCTATGGCGGACTCTGGTATTATTGTCGGTTTAAAGGATATGATAACTCACATGATAAATGGGTTGAGCATTCCGACCTTTTCGCCCCGGAACTCGTCGCCGACTACTACCGGAGATACCCTGCTGCCCCTCGCTCCATCACCTCCGCCGCTTTCGACTCGCTCCCCTTCTGGGACCCGGCCCTCCGTATCCGTTCTATGCGTCGAGGCGCCGCATTCCAAGGGGGGGGGTGATGTCAGGGGAACCCCTATTTCCGGCCCTTCCGCTCCCGCATCTGGACCTTCCGGTCCCGTTCCGACCCGTTCCGGCTCCTCCCGATATCACATGGCCTGTGATTCCGCCCGGGACCTCTGCCGATCACTCCGGTTGCTATCACATGCCCCCCGTCCGTAGTTACTTATATACCGGGATCTGACGCGGGTGATCCTTAGTCTTTCTTCTCTTTGGATCCCCCTCGTCAGGTCTGTCCATTTGTATCTGTAGCTACTCTGTGATATTTATCTTCGGATCCCCCTCGTCAGGACTCTTGAGTATACTCGGGCCTTGAGGTTGCCCTTACAGCGGTTGCCCTTACACCCGTTCTGCAGCTGAGTTGGGCAGAAAGATAACAGCAAAATCCCTGCTGCCGTGCACCGTCCACCACACCCGAGTTGAGGGTGTACTGTGCTCCCTCGATATCATAATGCAGCAAATGAAACCTACATACCGGGAAACAGCGCGGGTTAATATTGCGGCGCAATCTTACTTCAATGTTACCACCCTCCCGTCCAGTGTAGGTGGGATCAGGCGGAACAGCCTAGAGTCTCAAAACACCCCGTTAGTGATTGGTCGCCGAAAACAAGTTCAGCACGCGGGGCAAAAACGAAACCAGTGTCTTGGAGGGAAAACATTGGATAGCTGAGCATATCTGGGTGCGGGGAGTCGAACCCCGGTTTGCAGCGTAAATGGCATGCATACTTTCTGGAAACATGAAGCTGCCGTGCACCGTGCACCACACCTGAGTCGAGGGTATAGATTTGCCCCCGCTAGGTCTGTGCGCTTAGCAGCGGGAATGAGTGTGTCCAGTGGAGAGGAACGGAAATCAGATGTATGTAGAGATATATCCAAGTGATACAAATTTGGCTTTGCAGACTCCACAGTGAGTGCAAATAGCTGGAACCCGCAGTGAACCTGGAGGAAAACGAATTCAATACCAGCAGGAAGCAGGAAGCAAGCAAAAACAAAAACAAAAAAGGGAGATCGAATTGTGTATTCGAATGCGGGGAGTCGAACCCCGGATTGCAGCCGCATTGAGTCAAGCCAAAGAATGAATTGCCGCGATGCACCGTGCACCACACCCGAGTGATTATTTACTCCAGTTCCTCGATATGTGGCAACTGAAACAAAGTTGCGAACATTAGGGCGTTATTTCACTTCCTGAAAACAGTCAGATTTAATTGATACCCAATTTCAGGAAACCGCGAACCTCTGATAAGTACTGGAGCAAAATGAAGGCTGAAGGCGCAAACCTATTCAGGTGTGGGGAGTCGAACCCTGGACTGCAGCATTACTGGCCAAGATCCTCACATGAAGCTACTGTGCGCCGTGCACCACACCCGAGCCGAAAGGATACCTTGGGTCCTGCAATGGATAAGAGTCTTTATGGATAATCAGAGCACGGCACAATTTGAGAAGTTGTTGAACAGAAGCAAATTGACCGACTCTGCGGGCTCCGTTAAACTCTCATGTATCGAAAGCACAATATAAACACTCCTGTTGCAACACGGTATCTAATTGCGACCGAAAGGAAATAAAAAAATGTCAAGAGAGCAGATCATTCGAGTGCGGGGAGTCGAACCCCGGTCTGCGGCTGGACTCGTACAGAAAAGGCAGATCAATCGCTGCCGCTATGCACCGTGCACCACACCCGAGTTGTGGGTATAGATTCGACCTTGGATGGGTAGGTGCCCTCGGCAGCGAGACGGACGTGTTTAGTATTGAGGAGGGAAGCATGATAAGTATTTGGATTCAAAGATATCCAATTGATACAATATATAGCACTTTCGGACAAGATGCAATAGTAGCAAGAAGCCAAAAAAAAGAAAAGGACTCGAATTCATTCGAGTGCGGGGAGTCGAACCCCGTTCTGCAGCTGAGTTGGGTAGAAAGATAAAAGCGAAATCCCTGCTGCCGTGCACCGTGCACCACACCCGAGTGGAAAGGATACTTGAGTCCCGGAATAGACGAGGTTCTTTTCAGCACCGATCTAGTTATAGTGCGGAGGATTGTAACTATCCAGTTGAATCTGAAAAATTGGTTTGGCAGTTGCGAAGTTTACTCAATCACCAACAACGGCGCTATGAAAAGTGACAATTGTTTTCCAATTCTGCCCTACCTGCGCACATTCTGATCCCTCATCCTGGAAGATGAGTAACTGCTGTTCTGTTTTCGAATCTTCGTCAGCTGTTACTGGGATGCATAATGGAGGCTGGTGCCGGTGGGCTTTTACGGGTGGGCCGGCGAGACCTTTGGCATACGTATTCTTTTACCGAGCATCCTTGAGAGTCTGTACTCGGGACAGACGAGTTCGCAGTTCAGGATTTTTGTGGGATGGTCGGGTGGCGGAGGCAGCGGGTCGGGGAGCTGCTGGATGCCTCTTTGGCGCCTCCAGCGTGGTGCATTAGATGTCGAGGTGACTACGTTATCTTTGCGGCAGCACGCTTCGGATTCCGTAGCCGGTTTTTTTTTTTTTCAGAGAACCAGTTCAGTATTCATTGCAAGCCCTCTCTGAGTACCGCACCGTGTCCGTGCCAAAGTCCGCAGCGTCCCCTTCGAACACTGGCTAAAGAAATCGCAGAACAGAGTCTCTTGGCAGATACCGGTGACGGAGTATAAGGCGCACCCGGTGTTTATGGGGGAAAGCGCAACCCACGGGCTGAAGAAGTTTGTGGCGAGGGAGAAAGAAGGAAAAATTCAAAAATAAACAAAGTTCAAGTTCAAAAACTTGATCCTGATTTGAACGAGCTGGGTTCCCTCCTTGCCTCATGAAGCTCATCAACAGCTGAGCGCTGATCATCAAAGGTTACGGCGCTTCGGCCAGCGCCTAACCTCTTTCTTTCCCCTCCCACCACCTACCACCCATGGACGACTGCAGCAAGACTTCATTTGATCAAGAATTTATCTCTGAAGAGATGCCCGATGGCTCTCAAGATGGCCATGGGTTCGTCCCGCGTTGCATTCCCCGTTGCCGGATGGAAATCCATGGCGCTTACTCTAGGAACACGGGCGCTTTTTTCCCCCAATCACAGCATTTTGTTGTGGTGGGGGTAACTTCACAAGCAACACCCATATACATGAGCCGTTGAGTCTTCACTCAGGTAAGCGCCTACAGCTTGCAGTCGGGTCAACATTGACACTTCAAACAGATTTTCGGATGATCCCGCTGGGAGACATCGACTTGCAGAAGGAAATATGTCTGGATCCGGGAACTGGTATTGCCAGCCTTTCAAACCGTGGTCGGCGTATGTACTCCGCCATGCTTCGTGGCCACAAGATGACCGTGGTGATGTACGAGGGTGACAGCACCAAAACGGTATGCTCAACTTTCCATCATGCTCCTTCTCATTCTTTGTACATCTGAAGGACTGGCAACAATGTATCTCGAAGCACTCCCGTTTTCGGTTTGTCCTCAATCCCGACACCATTCACATCGTTTAAAGTCGAACTTTCAGACATCCCAATTTGTTTCAAATTTACGGCACTGCTAACTCTTGTGGAATGTATGCAACGGTCTTCCATGATGGTGGGTACTTTGCTTGGGGTGTGGGAAAACCCGATGCTACTGTTTGATTTAGACCTAATCCCACTCAAACAATTTCTCGACAAGTGGCGTCAATCACCTATCTTGACAGCCTGCATTTGGTCCTTCTGCGTACATACCTAACTCTGACTTCCTTCTCTTAGCAAATATTGAATTGTTCACAGGGTATGGAGTGGAGGGTGAGGAACACAACTTTTTCTGTGGCCTGACTGATGCTGTTGTAGGAGGCATGGCATTATTTGCATTCTGTTTATGGCCAAAGCGTGGTGAGTCCTTATGCGACTTGGTCAGGAACCCGTAATTTATAGGATCTTCACCAGGACGATTGCAGCCTTTGGATACGGCGCTCAAGTGGCAGTGTCTCTGCAGACATCACAGATGCAGGGACTGGTGGACACAATCCAATTTTTACAGATCCCCTTGATTATCCCCTCCGGAATTTAACCTTCCTCGATCAACCAAATCCCGAGGCTGCACTGAACGCTATTTTAACTCTTGAACAGTATCATAAAGTATGTTGGTGGTACCCATCCAAACGGCTCTCATTTTCCGTTTCCCCCGCAAGAAACGGTGAAATTTGCATCGCTGCTGTCATGGTCCGCCAGCTCCCATCTTCACAGACCGATTGACATTGGAATTACATCCGAGTTTGAGGATGCGGATATGCGTGGTTGGTTTATGTATGAAAACAGAGGGAAAACATCGTCCGAAAAGATGCCAGATGGCTGGACCCGGTGCCTACCGATCCATATATCGCTAACTCATGGGGCTGACTATGTTCTCAAGGTACAAGTCTTGTGATGTAGTGGGTCGAACCATCTGGTGTGATCTGGGGGAAGCATGGCACGAAGCCAAGCCCTGGCTCGGCCAGGCCAATTACATTTTCAGCCGCCTGAAAATCTCGGCTAACTACGAAGACTACAGTGCGCCTCAAATGATGTGTCATCATAAATTTATTGACGTGCCGGAATCTAGTCTATGTGCACAAGATTGAATATCGGATGCAAGTGCCACAAACAACGATACCGGAAGGGCACCTATTCATCTGTCCCATCGGCAGTCTTCACATCGGGTCAAATGCGTACCGGCTTACTGGTCCCTCGATGCATGCGGAGGCAAACACCTCAGCCCAAAGAAGGCAGAAAGGCTTGGGTTCACGGCGATCGAGCTGGAAACAACGATCTACGGAACATACTTCGATGACGGCGTTTACGCCGGCCTTCGTCAATTCCACGCGGATGAAGGCTTCGACCCGGAGAGTCAAGAGGTTGCTCTGCATCTCGGGTATCCACTTTATCGGATTTCCGAGAACATGTATGACTTCTTCACATACGGTGCAGCTCATCTAATCCGTGTCTGATCATCTATACTCAATTTGCTACTGTATAGTTGAGTTCTACACGTACGAAGATGAGGACACCGACTGGGAACGATTGGAACTCTCCGAGAGCGAACGGTGGGAGATCAGAATTACGGTGCTGACACATTCAATTTGGGTGCTGAATGGACTACTAATCGTGCTGATGGACAGACTCGGACCAAGATGAATCCATTGTGCTGATGAACAGACTCAGAGTAGGATGAAGATTGTGATCAAGAGGACTTCGAACTTGTCGGCTCGGACAACGATCACAGCACTGAAGTCAGAAGGCAATTGGAATCTACGACGGCAGAGTCTATCTTTTGTTGCTGGACACCACTGTGAAATCTATTTTAAACAATATTCCATTTTTGCAGAAAAATGTGCAGAGTGAGCGGTGCAACCATGCTTTGGCTGAATGTTTCAAAGTATTCGGCGGGCGCGGGAGAGCTAAACCCCGATCTACAGCTTACTTAAACATCTCATCCTCCTACTAAATGCTGCCGTGCACCGTGCACCACACCCGAATTGCGAGTACAGATTTGATCTCGGATAGGTGAGTGGGCTCAGCAGCGAGAGGTCGGCGTGTTCACTGCCAAGGAACGGAAAGTTGACTTACACAAAGACATGCCAATGCTAGAATTCAAAAGGCCCTCCGGGCACCCCTGGTACTTGTGATCCAGACACCCTGCAGCCCAAAGTAACTGCAGACTTCTCGGAACTTTTCTGTGAACACGGAACCCCCAGGTTGAGGTTTTCGCACGGTCCAATAATGTAAGGGAGAGGCCCGGGCGATGGGGCCCAGACATTTGAACACTGTGTTGATGGAATCAATCAAAATGTCCCATAAACAGTAATGGTGTGATGGGAAGAGGGAGAAAGCAGGATGGGCGGACCCGGGCAACGGGGCCCAGGCTGGCCCACGCTCTCCCATCGTCCATTGATGTAATCGATCAATAACATCCGGAAGTGGTAATGGTATGATGGGGACGGCGGGAAAGCAGGATGGAAGGACCTGGGCACTAGAGTCCAGGCTTTTAAATAGGCCTTTGATGGGATCGATCAATAGTACCTATAAACGGTAATGGTGTGATGGGTTGTCCGCATTCGAAATCTCTAGACCTGGTACCATATACTAGTACCAGGAATAAATTTGGACGACTGTATCAAGTTGTACTACCAGTAGTAAATGCGACTGTATGTAGTCGCAGGACACGCAGTGAACTTGAAGAAGACGATGCACTGACAGCACTGGGAAATAAGGACAAAAAAAAGGCCAATTCTGGGTAGCATCGAATTCGGGTTCGGGGATTCGAACCCCGATCTGAAGCTCAGTCAAACTTCTAACTCGAAATGCACTATATAATGCTGCCGTGCGCCACGCACTACACCCGAGTGGTGAGTATAGATTTGACCTCGGATAGGTCGGTATGCTCAACAGCGTTCGATGGTGAGGAACTTGAAGGAAGCAGGATGAAAGTAAATTGAATTTACACAAAAACACCCAAGTGATGCAAAACCTCCAGACGAGCGATAGAGTTGGAGAGTCCGCTATGAACACGACTGTATACATACAGTTGCAGAACCCGCAGGAAAGAAATTCAATAGCAGCAAGACGCAAATAAAAAAAGGGTGCAGACACTACCTTATTCGGGCGCGGACTGCAGCTGAATTGAATAGGGTGAACCGTCAAATTCAATGCTGCCGTGCATCGTGCACCATACCCGAGTGATTATTTACTCCATTTCCTCAATTTGTCATAATGTTCAGCCGAGCGGGAAGAACGGTTGCGAATACCTATTGCAGCATAATTTTACCTCCCATATGCACTTCATCCTGGTGTTCAATGTAGGATAGATTAGTCTAGGGTCGAAACTGCTTGTCAATGAACATATAACACCAGAAGCAAAAATGAAGCCAACAAAAGGGAAAAGATTTGGATGCCAGGTTGTGTCATTCGGGTGCCGGGAGTCGAACCCCGTTCTGCGGCTGGACTCGGATAGAGAAGGCAAATCAATCGCTGCCGATATGCACCGTGCACCACACCCGAGTGGTGGGTATAGATTCGACCTTGGATGGGTAGGTGCGCTCAGCAGCGAGACGGACGTGTTTAGCATTGAGGAAAAAAGCATGATAAGTATTTGGATTCAAATATATCCAATTGATACTATATATACAACACTTTTAGACAACGGTCTGGCCGAAGAAAATCCAGAGTGAGCACGACTGTATGAGTTACCGGACCCGCAGTGACCTGGAATAAAACGATACAATAGTAGCAAGAAGCAAACAAAACAAAGAAGGATCTAGAACAGTGCATTTGGGTGCGGGGAATCGAACCCCGTTCTGCAGCTGAGTTGGGCAGAAAGATAACAGCAAAATCCCTGCTGCCGTGCACCATGCACCACACCCGAGTTGAGGGTGTAATGTGATCCCTCGATATGAGGCAATTGAAACAGCCCAGAAAACAGCGCGGTTTGGGAATATTGCGGCACAATTTTACTTCAATGTTACCACCCTCCCGTCCAGTGTAGGTGGGATCAGGCGGAACAGCCTAGAGTACCTTGTCAGTGATTGAGCACCGAAAACAAGTACAACACGCGGGGCAAAAACCAAGCCGGTATCTTGGAGGGAAAAAATTGGATAGCTGAACATATTTGTGTGCGGGGAGTCGAACCCCGGTCTGCAGCGTAAATGACATGAATACTTTCTGAAAACATGAAGCTGCCGTGCACCGTGCACCACATCCGAGGCAGGAGTATAATTCGGTCCCCGGATAGGTGGGTGTGTTCAGACAGAATCAGTGCCAGGGAAGAGAAGCATTCGAAGACATCCACGTTTAATACGAAGGATGCAATTCAAAAACTCCATTCGAGAAACGATCGGAAGCTGTAGAGCATGATCCACAGTGAGCAAGATTGTACGAATTACGGGACCCGCGGGCTGCAAGTGAGCGCAGAGAAAATGAAGTGAGTTCAGAGAAAATGATTTCAATAGCAGCCTGCAGGAAGCAACCAAAAAAGTTATGATCGCCTTCCACATTCGGGTGCGGGGAGTCGAACCCCGGTCTGCAGCGTAAATGACATAAATACTTTCTGGAAACATGAAGCTGCCGTGCACCGTGCACCACACCCGAGGTAAGGGTGTACTACAATCCCTCAATATGCGGCAACTGAAATGTATAGGAAATCATTGGCATGTGAATATTGTGGTGCAAATTTACCTTCGCCCATTGTTGAAGCACGAAGAGCCTATGATCTCAAAAAAAAAGTTTGATTGAACCCCTAATATAATAAAAATAGCACCTGGCCACAAAATGACGGGAGAAAGAACCTGAAAGGAAAAATAATACGATCCAACAACACCATTCGGGTGCGGGGAGTCGAACCCCGGCTTGCAGCTACAACAAGTCACGAAAGCGGAGTGAAGACAGTGCTGCCGTGCGCCGTGCACCACATCCGACTTGTGAGTACAGATTGGACTTCGGATAGGTGTGTTCAACCGGCGAGAAAGGAGCATGATAGGCAATTGGATTTAATTTACCTAGAGATCCAAATCATGCAATAAAATTGAACGGCAGGTGAATTGTTGCGGCGGCGGCAGAGAACGCGACTATATGGAGTGTCAGGTCCCGCAGTGAATCTTAAAAAAAGGCGAATTCAACAGCAGCAAGAAGCAACCAAAAACCTTGGACCCGAATTGGATATTCAAGTGCGGGGAGTCGAACCCCGTTCTGCAGCTGAGTTGGGTAGAAAGATAAAAGCGAAATCCCTGCTGCCGTGAACCGTGCACCACACCCGAGTTGAGGGTGTAATGTGATCCCTCGATATGAGGCAATTGAAACAGCCCAGAAAACAGCGCGGGTTGGGAATATTGCGGCGCAATCTTATTTCAATGTTACCACCCTCCCGTCCAGTGTAGGTAGGATCAGGCGGAACAGCCTAGAGTCTCAAGACACCCCGTTAGTGATTGACCCCCGAAAACAAGTTCACCACGCGGGGCAAAAACGAAACCAGTGTCTTGGAGGGAAAACATTGGATAGCTGAACACATTTGGGTGCGGGGAGTTGAACCCCGGTCTGCAGCGTAAATGGCATGAATGTTTTCTGGAAACATGAAGCTGCCGTGCACCGTGCACCACACCCGAGGCAGGAGTATAATCCGGTCTTCGGATAGGTGGGTGCGTTCAGAAAGAATCAGTGCCAGGCCTAAGAGAAGCATTTGAAGACATCTGACATCCACGTTTGATATGAAGGATGCAATTCAAAAACTCCATTCGGGAAACGGTCTGAAGCTGTAGAGCATGATCCACGGTGAGCAAGATTGTATGAGTTACGGGACCCACGGGCTGCAAGTGAGCGCGGAGAAAATGAAGTGAGCTCGCAGAAAATGATTTCAATAGCAATCTGCAGGAAGCAAGCCAAAAAGTTCTGACTGACTTCCACATTTGGGTGCGGGGAGTCGAACCCCGGTCTGCAGCGTAAATGGCATGAATGTTTTCTGGAAACATGGGGCTGCCGTGCACCGTGCACCACACCCGATACGACAATTATGTTTGGTGCTGTCCAGAAAGGTCGATCACTAAGGTTAATATTATAAAACGAACATGACAAGCAGGTGAGACGAACAAATTATAATGACAACCGCAATAAATTTTCCTCCCCTCGGAGAGATCGCTCTGACCAATACCAGGCCAACGGGTATAAAAATCAGGTAGGCAGGTAAGACACAATGGGAAACTTGAGGAATCCGCGGCTCCGAAATTCAAATTCGGGTGTTGGCTCGGAGGAAAGATGAATGTGTGAAGGAAGGCTACATGGGTGAATGAATACGATGGGCGGTGGAGAGAGGCCGACGCCAGCGAGTCATACAGCCAGCGCACGTAGGGGAGAGGAGACGGAAGTTGAACAATTCGCAGCGCTAGCATCGGCGCCGATCGGCTCATACGCGGCCGATCGCCGAAGTCTTCTTCAACTCCATGCAGACCCTCCGGCAATCACTCAACCTTCCCGCTCTTCCCCGCATCCGTCCCTCCAACCTCGCCTTGCTTCTCCTTCCCTCCTCTCCTCTACCATCCCTCTCACCACCCTCCAACCCCAACCTCTCTTCCACCCCGCTTTCAGACGCCCTGACACTCGGCATTCCCCAATGGGGCGACCAGCGGGATCTACATGTGCAGCTGACCCCGCTACGACAACGCGCATGTGACGCTGTCTCACCCTCGCTTCCTTCCCCGCCGCCCGCTCTCATAACAACAAATATATAAGCTACGCCCCTCCGCCCCACGCCGACAGCGCATGCCCACCATGCACCCCCACAAAACCAGAAACAGAACTCGAACGAAAAGCATGGGCGTCGGCGCCGGCCTGGTCGGGCTGCTCCTCCTCGCTAACGCGGGCAGCGCGCTCGCCGGCGCCGCACGGGGAGGCGTGCAGCAGCGGCTTATACGGCAGGCTACTGCTGTCTCTGTGTCTGCAGTCAATGCGAGTGCTAGTGTGCCTTCAAGTGCGACTGGTACGGCGTCCGCCTCCACTCCCTCCGCATCTACGAACGGCACTACCACCACCCCAACCAGCGGCAACACCACCCTCTCCTTCGACACCTCCACCTGCCCCGGCTACGCGCTTTCCGCCTTACACGAGACCGCGACGGGGCTGACGGCGACGCTCACCCTCGCGGGGCCGGCGTGCAATGCGTTTGGGAAGGATGTGCCGGAGTTGGTGTTGGAGGTTGTTTATGAGAGTGGGACGAGGTGCGTTTTTGCGCTCTATTCATTCCTTTCATTCGAATTCCTCCTTCCACTCCGTCCACGTCCCCGTCCCCGTCCCTTCCTCCGTACATACCTTGCGTCTCATTCCCTCCTGGCGGACTGAACTGACGCTACACGCAGACTCCACGTAAACATCCACGACACCGCAAACCAGCAGTTCACCATCCCGCCTGACGTTTTCTCACCGCCCACTCCGTCACACGGCACCAGCAATTCCGACTCGAACTCGTCGGCCAGCGACAGCAGCTCGAATAGTAGCGCAGATAATGAAGCGAAATCCGAGCTCATCTTCAACCACATCCCCTCCCCGTTCCAGTTCTGGATCACCCGCAGGAGCGCCCCCGACGCGGCGCCGCTGTTCGATACACGGTGCGTTGTTAGTCTCTCTCCCGCGTTAGCTTTCTTCGGAACCGCACTTCCCTCATACACTCGCACTTCCCTCATGCACTCGCACTCCCCCTCTTCCCTCGTTCTCGTATCACTCCTTTCCTACGCGCCCCCCTCCTATCTTCTCTCGCACTTCCCGTTCTCCCGCACGAGTTTTGAACTATACGCTGACTTAGAACTATACGCTGACTTAGAACTATACGCTGACTTATCGCTTCCGCAGACTATCCTCCCTCCCCAGGACCCCCCTCACCGCCCCGGGCGCAGAGGACGGCACGGGCACCGCCCCAGCAGAAGTGGAGGGCTACGGGCTCGTGTTCGAGGATCAGTATTTGCAGGTGCGTTTTTCGAGTTATGGCATTAATTCGCGGCTTTGCGTTTCGAATTCGTTAATTCCCGCTTTTATTCATTCATCCCCTCTCCTCATTTCATTCATTCATTCATTCCCTCTCCTCATTTCATTCATTCATTCCCTTTCCTCATTCCATCCCTTCCTTCGTCCACCCATTCGTCCTTCTCGCAATTGCAATTATCAACGCAGGCGCTCGAATATCCATCCCCTCCTCATTCATTCCTTCTTTCCCTCGTTGCTCTACTCGCTCCTCACCACGATCCGATCTTGCCTCGCCCTCCTTGCATTTTCTTCCCTCCAATCCCCGATGCATATCAATAAACCTTCTCTTTCGGTTCACTCCAACTTCACCCACCTCTCCCACTGCCTTGAATTCTCGCTCCTCTTGCCTCCGTTTACCCATCCCTCCTCACCCTCCCATTCCCTCTCATTCCCCCCCTTTTTTTTCTTCCAACTTCTTATTTTTTCATTTCAACTAACACTCGCTCGCGTTTTTTTTTTAACACACATACGTTCATTCGATCGCTCACCTACCCACACAGCTAACCTCCGCCCTCCCCCTCGGCGCGAACGTCTACGGGCTCGGCGAGGTCGTCTCGGGGAGCGGGATCCGGCGCGACGTGGGCGAGAATGGGGGGACAGGGACGACGCAGGTTGATTGGGGTGCGTGGTTTGCTTCTTTCTTTTCGGGGCGTGTGCGTTTGCGGGAGGTGGATGAACGGAGCGCGGGGGTAGGGGGGCAGGAGCGCGGAGTGGGAACCGGGAATGGGCGACGCTGTTCGCGTTCCGGCCCGACTCACTTTCAGCTTGAACTCGAATCCGGTTTATTTGTGGTGAAAAGATGCTGACGAATTGCTGCACGCCCACAGCGCGCGACATCGCGGACCCGGTGGACGAGAATATGTGCGTCTTCCTCCTTCCTCCCTTCCTTCCTTGCTTCCTTCCTCCGTTTCGTAAACTTCGAATTTTTCTCGCCATCACAACCCTCCCATTCGATAATTCGAACCGCTTCCTCCCTTCTTTATGCGAACCGCTTCCTCCCTTCTTTACGCGCCTCAGTGCCTTTCCCTTCGCACTCCGTGTGATTCAACTTTCAACCCCACCTCCTCTTCCTCGTCGCCTTCAGCCCCTCCCCCCACACCAAATCAATTTGATTCGTTTTTTTTCAACTTCATTATTTCCTTCCTGCTTCCTGCTCCTCCTTCCACTCCATCCCTCTCATTCACCCCCACCCTGCACCCCACACCAACAATCCTCATACAACCATGATGCTCAACTTTACCACGTACTACACATACTACACATGCATATATCGATACTCAATACTAACGACTTGACGCCTCGATATCTCCACTGCTGATGTTCGATACTATTTACTAACGACTTAATGCAGATACGGCGTGCACCCGATCTACCTCGAGCACCGGTTCGACGAGAAGAGCGGCAAGAGCGCAAGCCATGGGGTGTTTTTGATGAGGTGCGTTTGTCTCCCTTTCTTCTCGTCTTTATCAGTATCTCTTTGCGTTGTCGTATGGCGTTCGGAGCTCGCGGCGGCTTCGTGTTCCTCGCTTCGTGTATCGCGGCTCTTCCTACTGCGTCTAGAACGACTGCCTCGGATCGCGAGCACG